ATTTCTTATTGCTCATTTTCAGCATGGACATTCTGCAATTGTCAATGAAAAGACATTCCTAACCATTAGGAAACTGTGACTAAAATAACAGAGTAAGTGTGCATTGTAGGTACCATGAAACATATGACATAGTTTGGAGGTGTGTGTAACTGTACTAGTGTGGTCAATTGTAACTGGCAAACTTTGAATAGTGTGGGGAAGGCATATAGATGGGTGGTTTCCAAGCAGAGATTCCCAGGACACTTCTAACATGAATATTCTCATGTATCAAGAGCACTGAATCTCTTTCAGTCCGAGGGCCACATTACATTTCAGAGGAGCACTTGGAATGGGTGGAGCTGAATGCAAAGGAGTGGAACCAATGATGGAACCAGTTACTTAAGGAAGTTGTGGTTGGAGGTGTTCAATAAGTAGCTAGACAGCCTTCTGTCGGAATTGCTTTAACTTGGAGATTTGTATTGAGCAGGGAGTTGAACTCAATAGTCTTACAGGCAACCTCCAACTCTACTATTCTATGATTCTATGAACGAAGAGGGGAAAGGTGGAGTCAGAACGCCACAAATAACTAGATCTTTTACCTTAAAGCTCTTACTGCCAGTAACTAACCCTTAGGAAAGTATTTTAGCCTTTTGAATGAGGGAAAACTTCACAGAAGCCAAAAAAACCACCAAACGGTTGGTAGTCAAAGGAAGGAGAGCATGGCTCTCTGGGAAATCCTGAGAGGCTCAGCTAGGAACTCATGTGGCCCTGGAACCTGAAGTTCTATACATTTATCATTTATGGTCATTCTCTTTGTGCTGTACACATTTACTAAGGCATTGTGAGGCATATACTAGTAAAAAGCTATTTCAAGCATCGGTTACAGAGTTAATGGATGAAAAGTAGCAGCAAAGGATGCAGCTGAAATCCTGTTCAATTTTGTTCTCAGAAGCAAACATTTTCCTTTTGAAGGCATGGAAGAATAAAGGGATGTTTTGATTAAAAAATCTAAGAGATTCAAACCTACTTTTTTCTTCATGTGGTATTATATAATTCTCGCTATGCATGATAACATGATAAGCAGTGCACTGAATTAACATTTGCTAATAATCCTTAGTATATATTAATGAACAGGTGGCTTTTAGAGAACAATTTATATGTTCAAAGTGCTAATACCTAAGCACTCAAGACTCAACAGATTCATCCTACCAGGATATCTCTTGACTTTCAGCATCCCATTTCTGCTTTCATGGTGTGTTATGATCTCATGACTCAATGGCAGAAAGCAAAGTTGCTTCAGTCAGAGCAAGCCTGCATCCCTAACATCAAAGAGCTACAACTCTAGATTACCTGTCTTTATATCTTACAACTTACATGCTCCTATTTCTTTACTTATATATAGCTGGGATCCTTCCCTACATTCCCAAAGATTATGGCTTTCCTTCAAGGAACCTTGGAAACTGTAATTCAGTGGGAGGATTAATGGGCCCATTCTGATATTACCTTTAATTTAACTAAGGGTGTGATCCTATGCAGGCTTAGGCAAAAAAAGGTCCTACAAGTTCCAGCATTGCTGGTTGGATAAAGTTGGAAGCTGTAGGATTTTTTTTCTGTCTAACCATGCATTGGATTGTGCTCCTACTTAAGTTGGATAATTTATACCTTGCACTTTCTGGTTCAAAAGAGATACCCAAGGCAGTTTGCATCCTTCAACAAATAACAAGCCTTGACAATATAACTGACAATTCTTGACATAAATCCCACCTGAAAAGTGTCTTCCAACTCCACTCAGTTATGTTTGTTCTAGTTACTACAGCCTCTTCCCCTTTTCCACACTCCTTTAAATTCCACAGTCCATGAACAAACGACCTTCCAATTCTCTCCACCATTAATTCTCTCTGTTGCACACAGCACAAATGAATGATTTGTTCCTGTTACTCTTAGTAATTTATAAGTCCAAGGTTAAGTGGGAGGGTACTATGATAGCTTCCTTCCAATGACAGCATTGCTTCAGTTCTTGGAAGGGAGACTGTTGTCACAGGAAGAAAGAATTCATGTCATGGGCCTCTCATACATGACCTCATGACCCTTTGGGAAAAGCACATAGCTTAATCATAAACCGCACACTTTTCACACCAAAGTTCGCAGAGTCAGTTTAGGTATGGTTGTGAAAGCCCCATCTGAAGCCCTAAACTCACTGCCAATCAGGGTAGACCAGGGTGGGCAACTTCCACAGGTTTGCAGCCATTTTTTTGCCAAAGCCAATGGCACAGCCTGTGGGGAATAACAGGGCACCCCCTGCTTGCCAAAACTGTCGCCTTGCAACTAAAAACTGGCAGCTTTTGTTCACACTATCACCTTATGAACATTAATAGGAATGACAAAGTATGTTAAAATGAAAGGTTTTGCAGCTATAATAAAACAGAGACGCATGAAAAGTCCTGTGGGCACTGAAGCAAGCAATGTTTAGATCTGAAACAAGTGCCTCCCCATGTCACCTCCAAATTGTCCTATTAAATGTATATCCAGTGGATATTCATGGAACATTTGCTGAGTATTTTATATTCAGCATTTGATTTCCAAATGGTTTGCAATAGAAAACTAGCAGTCATTACTGGATAGTGTTTGATTGTTAGCATTAAGAAATAATCAATATTTAACAGTACTTAACATACAGCAGTCAGACTGCTGGTTTACAACAGATGTCAACATTAGACAGAATCATATATCTAGCAATCAATATTTTATTTATTTATTTATTTTATATGCTGCCCTATAGCCTAGAGCAGTGGTGGCGAGCCTATGGCCCATGTGCCACAGTGGGCATACACATCCCTCTCTGTCAGCACATGAGCCAAGTTGCCCCAGCAGTCAAGCATTGGATAACAGCACACACAGGGGCCATGAGTGTGCTCAGAAAGGAGTAGCGGCACCAGGTGGTGACATCATGAGCTGTGACTCATTAGCCGGGACTCATCCAAGCTTACGCATGGCCAGTCAGTGCACTGGCAAGGAGGGAGGGAGGGAGGGAGGGAGGGAGGGAGGGAGGGAGGGAGAGGGAGA